CCCCCGCCCCCCCCCCCGAAATGGCCTTCTGCGCTAAATCCCCCTCTGCCAAGCTGGACTACGAGCCAAATACACCCTTACCCCATGCTTTTTCCCATCCTACTTCGCCAGCTTAATCTCAAAGAGTATAGGAAGTTTAGGAAGTTAAAATACATGGAGTGACTTCTAGGTGAATAACATGACATATAAGCATGCAACACTTGAATCTACCAAACAAGAAGTTTATTACACACATTGTAAATCAATTTCTGTTACCTGGCAATAACTGTCCTGGATTCATTCACATTTACCAGAAAACCATCAAGGAGCGGCACAAACATATCTGCCACATCTGAGACAACCATCATTTGTGGCTGTGCCAGTGAGCTCTTCACGTTATAGAAGTGTAACACTTTGTTGTAGGTGACAAAGCCTACTCGAATGGCTGATTCTTCCATGTTGCCTTCCCTGTAAGAGACATACTTGCCTTCACATCTAAGTAGATAGTGAAATCATTACACAGAACACAACACAATAAGGGATAAGGGAAAAATGAAAGGAAGGAAAATTTATTTTCACCTAGAAAGGTACCCAGAAAGATGTTCTGCTTGGCCTTTTTCTGAAGAAAAGCTTGATAGGATTACCAAATAATGTTTTAATTTCTAGCTTTTTTTTGAAGGGGAAAAAGTGACATTTTCCCCCGTTTTGACTGGCTACAGTAGTACACTATACCTACCTGGGCAGGTAATCTAGGAGTGACTTTAATTCTTCACATATTAGCCTCACTAAGCCACTCTTCACAGCATTATAAGACACGTCAATCATGAAAATGAAAGCAGGTGGACTGGGAAACTTGTTATTCTGTGGAAGAGAGGGAAGAAGTCACATTATGGCCATGCAATGCAGCCCACATAACAGCTCTGCAACACAGACAAATGAATGCTGGTCAAAACTCTAATAGCTTTCATGTACTTTTCTACTCATGAGCAGTAATGGTTTCTTCAGATCATTCTCCCATCCCTGCCCAACTAGCACACAACATAAGCACACTGTGCTTGAAACAGACTGGTATTACATGCCCTAGACTGATTTTGCCATTGCTCAACGAAGAACAGGCTAGTCAGAACTAAATCACCCATTTACATGACTAGGACAGATAGGGAAAGTAGACAGGTAAGTTTCCTGCCAGTTCTTAAGACTTTAGAATCTGACCAGACTTGTTATAGGTGATTTCATCAATATAAAGCAAAAGATTTTCCTCTCTGAGAACTGCAACCTTTCCCTTCTACTTAAATATCAGGTTTGCTTTGGGAAAGAAAAACTTGTTTCAGTCAACAGTTTTCTGAAATCTTTAGGTCATACTGGAAGGAACACACAGAACAAAAGCAAAAACAGAAGAACTTTCAAGAAACCTGGGAAGATCACATCTCATTTGATTTAAAAATGCTTCATACGCTGTTAGAAGCAAGATGATTGTTTTTTTCCCTTAACTCGAAGTAAAGCTGAGGCATCAGAAGGTAACCAGCATAAAGTTGTAATATTTAGGCATTTATTTTCCCAGCATTTATTTCAGCAGAGATACAAGTTGCTTTAATAAACACCTTGCACATATTTTTCCTATTCCTTAGAAATTATTATTTAAATCATAGAATGGTTTGGGTTGAAAGGGACCTTAAAGATCATCTAGTTCCAACCTCCCTGCCATGGGCAGGGCCACCTTCCCCTAGACCAGGTTGCTCAAAGCCCCATCCAACCTGGCCGTGAACACTTCCAGGGATGGGGCATCCACAGTATCCCTGGGCAACCTGTTCCAGTGCCTCACCACCCTCATAGTGAAGCATTTCTTCCTTATAGCTAATCTAAATCTACCCTCTTTCAGTTTATAGCCTTTACCCCTTGTCCTATCACTATGTGCCCTTGTAAAAAGTCTCTCTCCAGCTTTCTTGTATGCCCCCTTCAGGTCCTGGAAGGCTGCTATAAGGTCTCCCCAGAGCCTTCTCTTGTCCAGGCTGAACAACCACAACTCTCTCAGCCTGTCTTCATAGGAGAGGTTCCCCAGCCCTCTGATCATCTTTGTGGTCCTCCTCTGGACTCACTCCAACAGGTCCATGTCCTTCCCATGTTGGGGGCCTCAGAGCTGAACGCAGGACTCCAGGGGGGGGTCTCCCGAGAGCAGAGTAGAGGGGGAGGATCACCTCCCTCAACCTGCTGGTCACTCTTATTTTGATGCAGCCCAGGGTACGGCTGGCTTTCCGGACTGCAAGTGCACATTGCTGGGTCATGTTGAGGTTCTCATCAACTAACACCCCCAAGTCCTTCTCCTCAGAGCTGCTCTCAGTCCATTCTCTGTACAGCCTGTATTTGTGCTTGGGATTGCCCCAACCTGTGTGCAGGACCTTGCACTTGGCCTTGTTGAACTTCATGAGGTTCGCATGGGCCCACCTCTCCAGCCTGTCAAGGTCCCTCTGGATGGCATCCCTTCCCTCTAGCATGTCAACTGCACCACACAGCTTGCTGTCATTGGCAAACTTCCCGAGAGTGCTCTCAATCCCACTGTCCCTGTCACCAACACAGATGTTAAAGAGTGCCGGTCCCAATACCGACCCCTGAGGAACGCCACTTGTCACTGATCTCCACTTGGACATCAAGCCATTGCCCACAACTCTTTGAGTGCAACTATTCAGCCAATTCCTTATCTACTAAGTGGTCCATCTGTCAAATCCACATCTCTCCAATTTAGAGATAAGGATGTTGTGTGGGACAGTGACTCATGCTTTGTACAAGTCCAGGTAGATGACATCTGTTGCTCTTCCCTTGTCCACCAATGCTGTAACCCTGTCGTAGAAGGCCACCAAATTTGTCAGGCGCAATTTGCCCTTAGTGAAGTCACATTGGCTGTCGCCAATCACCTCCTTATTTTCCACATGCCTAAGCATAGTTTCCAGGAGGATCTGCTCCATGATCTTGCTGGGCACAGAGGTGAGGCTGACTGGCCTGTAGTTCCCTGGGTCTTCCTTTTGTCCCTTTGTAGCAATGGGGGTTATGTTTCCCCTTTTCCAGTCAGTGGGAACTTCACCGGACTGCCACGATTTCTCAAACATGTCGGATAGTGGCTTAGCAACTTCATGCGCCAGTTCCCTCAGGACCTGCGGATGCATCTCATCGGGTCCCATGGACTTGTGCACCTTCAGGTTCCTTAGATGGTCTCGAACCTGATCTTCTCCTACAGTGGGCGGTTCTTTATTCTCCCAGTCCCTGCCTTTGCCTTCTGCAGCTTGGGCGGTGTGGCTAGAGCACAAAGCCAGGA